CTGGAAGCGCCCCGTCCCAGCCGGCGCCTCGGCCCGGGCTCCCGGCCTCCGCCTCCCCTGGCCGCCCGGCCTCCCTCGACCTCTGGCCCCTCTTGGCGCGGACAAGGCCCCCATTTCTCTGCTGGCTCCGCGGTTACGGGGCTACCTGCCTCCCTGTGGGCGTGGGGGGTGTGCGGTTCCTGTGCGTGTTGGGGTCTGTGTGCGTCTGCCCCGGGCCCCCTGGAGAGGCTCAGCCCTAGGCTGCTGGCCACCTGGGTCAGGCTCTCTCCGAGGAAGGGCCCACAGCTGGAGCGGAAAGGTGGAAGGTGGCTGCCTTTTCCTGGCCTTCGCTGTAAGCGAGAGGCGCCCGGAAACCTCCCAGGCCCGGCAGGCAGGCAGGCAGGCAGGCAGGCAGTGTGTCTGGCCGCCGCTCTGGTTCTCAGCGCTCGGCCTGCTCCACCCCAGCAGGTGGGGAAGGCTGCCATTCAGGTCCTTAGCAAGGCCTGACCCTTGCTAAGGACCTAGGAAGCTGCCTGGCCCTGTCCCCCAGCCTAGCCCGAGGCCCGGGAACATGACCAGGGCTTGGGCCGTGCGCAGCTCCTCTTTACGTGGGAGTCCTTGGTGAGAAAAAGCCCCTGAGCAGATCTGTCAGGCCTGGGCCCAGCTGGAGCCCTCACTGGGCGGGCACTGGGAAACCCTCCCTCTCGGGCTCCAGTAGCTGGGACAGCTGCCCCGAGCCACCCCCAAGAAGGTGGCCCAGGTGGGCACAGAAATGTGGCCGCTCCTCCCTCCCCGACACAGAGCACGGGGCTCACTGAGGAATTTAATTCCAGTGGACAATATTTTAAGCAGATGTGGACGTCCCTGGGGACCTGACTCCATTACCTGGCTCTGAGGCCGAGGGCAGCTGCCCTGCCTCCGAGAGAACCTCCCCCTTCAGGCCACATCCCAGCCAGGGTCAGGGGCTGGGTCTGAGGGGAGAGGTCACGGTTACCAGGCCAGTGTGCGGGGCTGGGCTGTGCCTGCAGCCATGTGCTGGGCAGGGAAGGACGGCCAGGCCAGGTCAGTGGGCGTGCTCCCTGACACAGAGCTTCGGGGGGGCTGCGTCTGTGTTTTTCCAGGACCCGGGGTCAGTGGGCCTGCCTACTGGCTGAGCCGGTAGCACCTTGGGGGGCCCCACTGGGGACCCTGAGCTGAGCTTTCCAAGGGCAGAGGCGAATGGGGTGTCCAGGCTGGGGCTGCAGTTCAGCTGCTGGTAAACCGCCCCCCCCCAATCTGCGTCTTGGAGGCAGGGAGCAGAGCGAGGACAGGAAGGGTCCAGGCTTCCCTCGCAGACCCGGGCGCTGTTGGCCAGGGAAATGGGACTGTCCCGCTCTCCTTTTAAGACCGAAATGCCCCACAAAAGCTCTATGTTTCCGCTTCTGTCGTGGGCAGGTGGGGGGGGCCGGCACAGCCAGTGCCTCCCACCCGACCTCTGGGCAGGGAAGGATGGCCAGAGCCAGTGCCAGCCAGGGCCTGGTCCGCGTGGAGGTGACGGATGCCGGGACCCTAGACGCAGCTGTGGGGATGCTGTCCTCGGAGTGGCCGCCGCCCAGCCCCTGGGCTGGGTGGGGGCCGCTGCCCCCCCTAAAGGAGCACTTGGTGCGTCTCCCGCGGGCGAGGTGATGTGTGTGCGACACGTTGGGAGGACCGGGCCGGGGGCTGAGTCCCAGCCTGCTCCCCGTCCGCCCGAAACAGGCCTGGCTGCGCCCTGCCGGCCCTGCCCGTCTCCCTCCCTCAGGCAGGGTAGGTCGGTGGGTCCGCCCGGCCACCGGTCCTC